AGGAATGCTGAGATCCCTCCCTACCCCACAAAGACTGACTATCACCAATAAATCAAAGAACAACAAATGTTCCAGGGAGAAAGGCTTGAACGCTGTGACGTTGGTGGTAGGAATGGAAGCTAGCACAGCCACGGTGGAAATCAATATGGAGGTTCCTCAAAGAACAGCCACCAGCAATTGCGCTTCACCCACTTCTCTCATTCCAGGTACCTTCCGCAAGGAGTTAACGGAATCAAATTTCAGAGCCTAGAAGATAGCTAGGCGGTCGCAGCGCCTCCCTGGCATCCAATCCCCGGTACCGCATGCCGCGCTTGCCCCGCCCCCAGGAGGGCCCAGCCAGCCACCAAAACTGGGTGTGGTGGCTCACACCTGTATTCCCAGCTCGGGGGGAAGCTACCACAGGAGGATCACTACGAGTCTCAGCTGTGTAGCAAGACCCCATGCCAAAGAAACAAATAATTTTTTAAAGAGAAATCAAATTACCCAAAAAACACACATGCCCATGCATATGACAGCACAATTCATAATAGCTAAATCTTGGAAATAGTCTATTTATTTATCAGCAGATAAATGCATAAAGAAATTGTGGCATTTATATGCAAAGAAGTAGTACTCTGCCACAAAGAAGGATAAATCTGAGTCCTTTCTTGCAAAAGCAATGCACCTTCATGTGATGATGCTACCTGAAAGGCATCAGACACAAGCGGGTAAGTGTAACCTGGTTTCCACTGTGCTAAACCTAAACTTCAAGGTCAAAATAAAAATAATAGGAAAGAGGGAGTTCGGTCTGCAAATGGGAATGGGTCTACGAGATGGGAGGAAGGAGGAGGAAGGGAAGGGAAAGGAGTAAAGAAGGAAAAGAATTAAGATGCGCTAGGTAGTGTACCAACTCCTGTAGTGAATGCAGTAATGTACTACTAACATGGAGAGATAAAAGTTTAAAATCTAAATCTATAAAATGCTGCAGGTGGAAGTGAATAAACCCTTGACAGCAATACCTCTCAATAAAGTGTGTTGTTGAAAAGAAAGGAGCAAAGGGAAGGCTCCAGTGTAGTATCAGTTACATAATACACAAAAGGCACTGCAGTGCTTACCAACAGGGCCCTTGCTTACTTCCACCAGCTAGTTTATCCTGGCTAAATCAATAAAGAGTAAGCTTTGAAGCTAGCAAATCTGAGGATTGGGTGTCTTGTACCAGGAAATTATTTCCTCTGCTGTAAAATGCCAGAAAATAATAGCACCTAAATTGGAGGATTATTGAGAAAAAAAAAAAAAATTTCTACCGGGGATTGAACTCAGGACCTTGAGCTTGTCAGGCAAACGCTTATTCTACTGAGCTATCTCCACGGTCCTCCAAGAAATTTAGTAAGTGAATATTCAGTGTAATATAGCAAAGGTATTCTCATTGTGAAAAACACCTAGTGCAGTGCTGCTTGTTTGTGACTGCTACAAGAAAAGTCCAAGTCACCTAACCTGATGCTGAGAAGGGGACTGAGGCTCAGGGGAGACAGGAGGAAGGAGAAGAGAAAGAGACATTTAAAAAGGATCAGATAAGTGCTTCCCTGGCAAGCACAAGGGCCTGAGTTCAATCCCTGGTTCCACAAAAAAAATAAATAAAAGAATCAGGATTCAATAGTTACAGTACCCCATGACAAACAAACTCATTATGTATCACAAATATATGCTAATAAAAATGTAAAAATGACATGACATGTATAACACATCAGCAATATATAAAATGATAAAACTACATTTTATAATGATTCTTTTTGTTTGTTTTGAAACAGGGTCTCACTATGTA